TCTTTATTAAAACCCAAATGACATTCTTTGAAGAAAAATAATCCTAAAATTAGTATGGTATTACATAAAAACCCAAATATGCAAAAATACCATTAATAAGAACAAAGCTGCACACATCTTATTTATTTACTTTAAACATACATTACAAAGTAATGCAAAGTGTCTCATACTGGCATGCAAACATATAGAACAATAAAGTCCTGAAAGCCAGAAATAAAACCTTGCATGCACAGTCAAATGACCTTCCTAAGGGTGAAAACACAACTCAGTAGACTTTCTTTTCAACAAGTAATGTTGGGAAAACTGAATGTACACATGCAAAAGAATCTTATTACACCATACAAAGACAATCACAGACCTGAAACTCTAAAACTCCTGGAATAGAATGACTTTAGAAATGGCATCTTGATAACAAAAGCAAACGGATAAGTACATCAAACCAAAAAAATCTTCTGCAAAATAAAGGACAAACAGTGAAGTATAAGACAACCTACAGAATCAGAGAAGTCATAAGTCTGATATGGGGTTAATATTAAAAAGAGGGATAGAGAGACAGTATACTAGGTAAGGCGGTGCTTCCCTTGCATGTGGCCAAACCAGTCCCCATATCTAATATAGTATCAGAGCCCTGCCAAGAGAGATCCCTGAGCACAGAACCAGGAGTAAGCCCTGAGTACAGCCAGGTGTAGTCTAAAGACAAACAAACAAACAAAAATTTAAAATATACAGAAAAATGTCTTAATTAACAGCAAAAATTAAAAAATAAAACCCTCAAAATGGTCAAAAATGGGCCAGAATTAATACAGATCATGGAAACACATGGCATGAACCCAATCTGGGTTTGATCCCCAATACTACATTCCCAATACCAGGTTTGCAGGTCCCAGCCATATTCCATCTTCTAGCATTGCTGGCTGAGAATCACTAGTAGAACCCTAGGTCTCCTGAACACCACTTCAGAACACCTCCAATCCCCAAAAGTAACAAAATAGAAAAATGACTGAAAGATTTAAAACAATAATTTCTCCAAACATATATACATGATCAACAAGTATATAAAAAAGATGCTGAGCATCATAAATTATCATGAAATTATCAAATCTAAGCCACCCGAGATACAGTAATATCAATTCATACCTATTAGGATGGCAAGTACATACATGAATATTCATAAAATACATAAATACATATTTAAATCTCAAGAGTTGGTGGGAATGAAGAAAAACTGGAAGCCTGCTACACTGCTGGTGACGACATAAAATGGTAGAGGTATTATGAAAATTTCTCTGATAGAAACAGAACTATCACACAATCCATTAATCCTTCTGGACACTAACAACAACAAAAAGAAATCAGGTTAAGAGATAATTCGTATTACCACATCCACTGCAATGTTATTCAAAATAGACTAGATTTTTTCAAACAAACTAAAAATTGACTGACAAAGGAAATACAGTATAATCACACAATGGCCTGTACTTAAATCTTCAAAAAAAAAAAAAGAAACAAATCCTGTCATATATAAAATTTTCCTTCATGTGGAGTACATTATGTTAAGTGAAATAAGCCAGTAAAAATTGACAAATATTAAATTCTCCTACTTGTAGGCCGGAGCAATAGCACAGTGGCAGGCCATTTGCCTTATGAGTAGCTAGCCCAGCCGAGCTGGGTTCGATTCCTCTACCCCTCTTGGAGAGCCCGGCAAGCTACTGAGAGTATCTCGCCCTCACAGCAAAACCTGGCAAGCTACCCGTGACGTATTCAATATGCCAAACACAGTAACAACAAGTCTCACAATGGAGACATTACTGGACATGCTCAAGCAAACCGATGAAAAACGAGAGGACAGTGCTACAGTGCTACAGTGCTACTCATAGAAGATTTCTAAAGTAATCAAGTTCAAAAGCAAAAGTAAATGTGATTGACAGTAAGGGAATGAAAAAGGGAATTGCAGTTATTTTTCAGGAGATATACAATGTGTCCACCAAGATCAAAACATTCTAGAGACCTATTATGTAGTCATATGTAATCAATACTGTACTGTACAAGCTCCCTGTGACGTATTCGATATGCCAAACACAGTAACAAAGTCTATAATGGAGGCGTTACTGGGCCCGCTCGAGCAAATCGATGATCAATGGGAGGGCCTTTACTTTACTTTACTGTACACTTAAACTCGTTTTGAAAATACATTTCATGCTGTCTTTAAACACAGCTACAAAATATGTTATAGTCTAAAAACATTTTGAAACATGTTTTATTTAAAGATACAAGTTTTGTAAGATTTCCCTAAAATGTGGTTAAAATGAAGTACAAGTATTTCAATTTCGTCCAAAGTCAGTGATAAAAGAAGAATTATTCAATAAATGGAAATGAAAGAACAGGTTCACCTTCTGGAGAAAAGATTCCAAAGTGGTATCACACAATAAAGTTAAGTCTAAGATTTACTTTAAGTCTAAGTACAATACCTGGCTGTACTTAGATCTTACTCATGGCTATATTCAGGAATCACTCATGGAGTGTATTGGGGAACAGTATGTGGTGGTGGGTATCAAACCGAGGTTTGCTGCGTGCATAGCAAATGCCTTGTATTAACTCTCTAGCCCACAACAGGTAAGAATTTTGGGAATCAGACCAAAAAAACAGATCTTTCTAGTAAGTCTTCATGAATAGCAAAGTCTGTACTATATTTCCAAGCAGATGATTCTAGATAAATACAGAAAAAAAATACTCCAATGACAAATATACACATTTTCCTTTTCATAACTTTAAAATAATTAGGAACCTCCATTTTTTAATGGTAATCCTCATCACCTGTTCTTGGGAGCCCACAAGCCACTTCATACAACATTAGACCTAGTGATACTGGGCCCGATTAGGTTAGGTACTGTGGTGCTGCTCAGGCCTTGCAGGGCTGGGACACCAGTGTGACACCAAGTGTTACTTTGAGGCTCCCAGAACTATACTTGGTGGACAGGACAATGTGGTACCAGGGGTGAAATTTGGGACTTGTCTATGATTATCCTTTTAAATATCCCTAGCCCCATTTTTTCAAGCAGCCACACCTACTCTTCCATTTTTTTTTTTTTTAAAACAACCATACCCAGCAGTGCTGTGAGACGTCAGAGAATTCCAGAAGTGGCTGGGCTCTGAGTACAAGTCCAGTACTCATCTCAATATTGTGATACTAGGGCCCAAAGCGCTATGGACTATCTAGAATGCTTTCTTCTACTGAAAAAGCAAATGAAACCAACTGTCCAGAAAAGCACTGTGATGTTAAAGAAATAGAGAACAATTAAAGAATCTTAAGATACGGCTAAGGTTCTCACAAGCAAAATCACACACTTCAAAGGAATGTTATAAATCCATTAAGAACAATTTTCAATGGATAGATAGATATAAATTCCATTCAGTCAGTCAAATACTATGCCAGAACCTGGACATGTATTAAAAAAATGAAGGTTAAACAATAGTGACGTGTTTTATATATAATAGGTACAAGGGGGTATAAAAATATAGCAAGGGGACATATATGTTCTACAAGGTTTCGTAGAAAATATGAGAATCCAAGCTCAGATCTGAGAGATACTTAGGAATTAGTCAAACCATAGTTTTTGGTAAAGGTATAAGAAAACCAGACTCAAGCATATAGATATGCCTGGGGGAAATGAGCATGAGGTATGGAAAGAAGACACACAAAATTAGACATAGAATAAAAATCCAGAGAGACAGTATAGTGAATGGACGCTTACTTTCCATGCAGTCTAAACGGGTTTGATTCCTGGCACCCCATATGGCCCTCTGAGTTCTACGAGGAGTGAAGCTTGACCACAGAGCCAGCAGTAAGCCCTGATAATAACCAGGTGTGGCCCCCCAAAAACAAAACAAAAAGTCATTCAAATACAGGAGCTGGAAGCAAAGTACAGGAATTAAGGTACATGGCTTGCATGTGGACAATACCAGTTTAATCCTCATTATCATATGATTCCCCTGCGAATTTCTGGTGCACCTCTGGAAGCTCCAGAGCACTGCTGGAGATCCAGTCCAGGAATTCCCAGTACCACAGGACCCAAGTAGCACTTCAGATCCTCTCTCTGAATCACTGGTCCAGTTGGCTGAGAATCACTGGGACGTATCTTAAGAATCACTTCTGAGACCCCCCCCCCCCCAAATCCAAATATATTTGCATAGAATAAGAAGTATAAGAAAAGAAAGTACCATTGTTTAATTCTGATGATAAACTAGGACTGAATTTATAGTTCTTTTCAATTTTTCCCAAGGTAATCACACATTACTATATAAAGTTTATTGATCAAAAAAAGCATATTAAAAGAATATTTCATAGTTTAGAAAGCTTGGGGAAACTTCTAAAGAATTCTACAGCCACTTGGGTAATTAAAACATTTTACTACCACTAGTTTCAGAATTCCATATGTGAACATAGTGAGTCTTCCAATTTTTAGGAAGCTAATTTGGTTATAATACTGTCTCCTACTAATTTTATTTTAGTTTAAAAATATATCTCCCTCAAGAAATAATACTTTAGAATGCTCTGATTCAGTAGCACTGTCCTCCCATTGTTCATTGATTTGCTCGAGTGGGCCCAGTAACGTCTCCATTTTGAGACTTGTTGTTACTGTGTTTGGCATATTGAATACATCACAGGTAGCTTGCCAGGCTTTACTGTGCGGGTGAGATACTCTCGGTAGCTTGCCAGGCTCTCCAAGAGGGGTGGAGGAATCGAACTCGGCTCGGCCGGGCTGGCTGCGCGAAAGGCAAACACCCTACCGCTGTGCTATTGCTCCAGCCCGAAAGTAGTGAGTGGTCGCAAGGTCAACCTAAAGTCTGATTTAGTATTTTGCAAATATCTATTATCCTCTATTATACCTGAAACAGTTTAGAGAATTTTCTGAATATATTTGCAAGTGGTGAAATGAGATACAACTACATCATTAATCTGTTGGTTCCTTTTTCACAACAGGAATAAAACAGTTTCTTACCTTTCTTCTGGAGTATCGACATGAAATGTTCTTTCTATAACAGTAGTCCACTGGAGACATCTTATAATAAATGTGTTTGGCTTTGGTCGTTCTGTTTTCATTAACTGGCATTCTAGAATTAAGTAAAATAACTCTTTGAATAACTTATATTTAAACCATGAAGGAAAGTGTTGAAACATATTTCTATTTTAAACAAAAGCACTGCAAACCCAGTTTTCTATGAATCTCCATTCGGCGTTTAGAACCTGACGTCAGTATTCCTTTCCAATGCATAGTTCTTTTTGGCATATAACCTTTAAGTGAAAATACTGTATTCTTACTTATATTTTCATTTTAAGTATAAAATTTTTAAATGATGAAAAATTTTTAAATGGCAAAAAATTATAGTATAAAAAAGCAATTTGTACTATAACTCATGATTTCTGAACTTTCTTTGCCTATCAGAGGCACATTAGGTAATAGTAATAGGTAACAGATTCTCTTTGAAGCATATTGTTTACACGAAGGTTCAGTTGGTTACACACAGCAACTATGATGGTTCCTTCCCACTTCCTTCTTTTCAAAATCTTATTAACTACAGTCTTACACAATAATGCTAATTTAATGCCCCAGCTAGAAAAATAAATTAAAAATTAGAAATTATGTGTACAACCATTTCTCATAACACCTAGGACAGTGACAGCCCAGAAACTTACAGACTAAATACTTGGTGTAAGCAACTCACCAACTGGCTTTTACGAAATAGATATTGAAAACAGGAGTAGACCTTAATTAATTAGAGGCTATAGAAAAATAGGAAAAGCCAAAAAGGAAAGTAAAAATCATCCAATCTTAGGTTCACCTATTTCTGTTTTACTAACAGTTACCACTTCCATATCCAGTTACCTATGATAATAGATTTGACAATTAGGATACAAGAATGATCTACATGTTCTTATTGTAAATGAGCACGTATAAGAGATTCCATCTAGTTCTCCATATCTGTATCACTGTATCACTATCACTGTCATCCCATTGTTCGTCAGTTTACTTGAGCCGGTGCCAGTAATGTCTCTATTTGTCCCAGCTCTGAGATTTTAGCATCCTCTCCTTCCTCATCTTTCCCAACGATTGAAGGCTCTTTCAGGGTCAGGGAAATGAGACTTGTTATAGTTACTTGTTTTGGCATATCGAATACAAGATGGGACTCTGTGCCAGGCTGCTTCCACATGCAGAGCCCCAGAGGGGGGTGGGCGAGAGCCCTCCTAACCCTAAGGGACCCAGCCCCAACAGCTGGCCTCCACTACCCAACAGCCGCCACGCTCCAGGCCACTTTCTGTAAGCTCGGGATGAACCTCACGCAGAATTCCCATGGAACCCAGGTAAGGAACGCAAGTAATGCAGAACTTTGTGACCTTGGACTCTTGACTCAATGGGGCCCAGGAACAGAGATCCTCTGCCTGCTTCCCCCAGTCACCTGTGACCCAGGGGTCACACCTATAAGCCACACCCTGCTGGCACCAGATAATCTCCTCATCAACCACCCTCCAGAACTAACAGCTGCTCCTCCCAAACTGGAGTATAAAAGGAGGCCCCCATAACGATACCACCGAACTCTGCACCAGGCTGCTTCCACTCGGGAGCCCCGGGGGGGGGGGGGGCGGGTGAGAGTCCTCCCCGCCCCAAGGGACCCAGTCCCAGCAGCCAACCTCCACTACCCAACTGCTGCCATGCTCCAGGCCACTTTGCACAACACATCATGGGACACTTTCTACCCATTGTCCATAATTACCACACCGTGTTTGATGGAGTTTAGACAATAGGCAACACACACACACACACACACACACACACACACACACACACACATATATATATGCATGCCTCTGGAGTGCCCGACAAACTACTGAGAGTATCCTGCCTTCACGGTCAGAGCCTGGCAAGCTACCCATGTCATATTTGATATTTGATATGCCTCCATATATGTAGCACTGTAGCACTGTACTGTCCTCTCATTCATCAATTTGTCAGGAGTAATCCCCAAGATACTGCTGGGTATGACCCAAAACACAATTTTTTTTTTTTTTGCTTTTTGTGTCAGGCCCAGTGATGCTCAGGGGTTACTCCTAGCTCTGCACGAATTACTCCTGGTAGTGCTAGGGGGGCCATATGGGGTGCTGGGGATTGAACACAATTTTTTAAAAAAAATTTCAAAACAAAAGTGAGGAACTGAAATAGTAGTTCAATGGACTAAGCACAGGCTATACATGAACTCCTCCACTTCACTTCACTTCACTTCACTTCACTTCACTTCACTTCATTTCACTTCTCATGACTGAGAACCACCAAAAGCTATCTCTGACCACAGAGTCAAGTATAGCTCCTATATACTACCAGAGTGCATGTTTGTGGCCCAAAGCAAAAGATAAATTTTTTAAAGTAAAAATTTCTAACAATCATTCCCTGCGTGCACCCCAACCTGGAACTTGGACAGCATCCCATGAATTTGCAGCCTGCTTACAGAGCTGTCCTGGCTCCCTCCACTAGATGTGCAGGATGGCAGGGGGCGCGGGCTCCAGGGCAGTGCTCATGCCCCGCAGTTATTTTCCCTTTCTCAGCACTCCGGACTCACATCTCACTCTCCATTACCTAATTTTGTGGAGAATATCCTGGCTATCTATAACACATTAGGCCAATAATCCACTAGTCTATTCCAATGTCACCAAAATAATGGTGAACAGAAGAAGCTGTGCAAGCCTAATATAAAATAACACATCCTCTGAAGCTTTACTAGAGGCCTCACATAAGTCACAGAGGAGCACTGAGGAGGAAGGTAGTATTCCAGAAGCGGAAAAAGGTGGCCATCACTGACCGAGCTCATCCAGAATCCTTTCTCGTATCGAGAGAAGAATATTGATAATGAACTGGAGGGTCCCACCACCACACTACCACTACCACATTAAGAAACACTGCAAACCCCCACCATGCAGAGAAGATGAAAAAAAGGGCTCAGAAGCCTCAACAGGGATTATTCACAAATACAATCTCTCCGATAAAGAATTCAGAAATGAAATGTTTAAGATGTTCAAGGAACTCAAATAAACAGTGGAACAGGCATCCAGTAAATTATAGGAGGACATGAAACAAACAGAGGAATGGATAGTAAAGAAAATACAGGAAGAAATGAGAGCAGAACTAAGAAAGTTACAAACAGAAGTGTCACTAATAAAGGATTCGATAGAGGAATTAAAAAACTCAGTGGATGCCCTCAACAGTAGAATGACTACAGCCACAGACAGAATCAGTGAGCTTGAAGATGAGCGTCAGAAAGTATACAGGCAACAACATACAATGGGAAAAGACCTCAAAATAGCTCTAGGGTGAATCAGAGACTTAGGGGATGAACTCAAGAGGAACAAAATAAGAATCATCGGAGAACCAAAAGGACAGGGAGGCAACCCCAATGAAATAGCAACAGTTAAAGCTACCATTGCTGAGAGGTTCCCAGAGCTAGAGAATGTAGGCACCCAGATCCGAAGAACCCAAAGGGTACCAACAAAAGAGACCCTAATAAAAAGACTCCAAGACATATCATAAAAAGAATGATGGATACCACGGATAGCGACACAATACTGCAAGCAACAAGGTCAAAGAAGAAAATCACATACAAAGGAGTATCCCTTAGACTTACAGCAGACTTATCAGTGGAAACATTCCAAGTCCAAAGATAACGGTGGGATACAGTGAAAAAACTCAATGAAATGAATGCCTAACCAAAAATACTATATCCAGCTACACTCTCACTTAAACTTGAAAGAATGATACACTACTTCATGGATAAAAAACAGCTCAGAAACTTCACAGACTAAAACCAACCTTAAAAGAAGGACTAAAGGGGAAAGTGTAAGACAAGAAAAATCCCCACAAGCACAACACACCTCTACAGAAAGATAGCACAAACCCCATGACAATAATCTCTCTCAATGTCAATGGTCTAAATGCACCAATTAAGAGACAGAGTGGCAAAATGGGATTAAAAAACTGAACCCAACATTCTGCTGCCTACAAGAAACACATCTGAAGAGTCAGAGCAAAAACGGACTCAAGGTCAAAGAATGAAAAACAATCCTGCAAGCAAATAACTTCCTCAAAAACGCCAGGGTGGCTTACTAGTATCCGACAACATAGATATCTGGCTGAAAAAGACTAGAAGGAACAGAGAAGGCCATTTTTAATAAAGGGATATATGTACAGTAGGAAGAACATAAACATAAACACACTCATAAACATGTATGCACCAAATGAGGGACCAGCAAAATACTTAGAACTGCTAACAGACTTTAAGGAGGACACTGGTAGCAACACAATAGTAGTTGCAAACCTCAACACTGCCTTATCACCTCTGGATAGATCAACAAGATTAAAACTCAGCAAGGAAACATTGGCTTTGAAGGAAGAAATAGAAGAGAGAGGGCTAATAGATGTATACAGGGCTTTACATCACCCAAAAAAAGGAACACACATTCCTTCCCAGTGCACAAGGACATTTTCCAAGATAGACCACAATGCTGGGTCACAAAATATACCTCAATAGAATCAGGAAGATAAAAATTTTATCAACTATCTTTTCAGACCATGATGCACTGAAGATAGAAGTTAATCACACACAGACAAGAAGAACCAAATCAAACACCTGGAAATTAAATAACTTAATGTTGAACAATGAGTGGCTCAGAGAGAAATAAAGGAAGAAATCAAAAGATACCTGGAAACAAATGAGAATGAAGACATAAGCTACCAGAGCCTATGGGACACAGCTAAAGCCATGCTAAGCAGAAAATTTATAGCTCTGCAAGCATTTCTCAGGAAGAAATAAAGGGCCCACATAAATAACTTCACAGCTCAAGATATTAGAAAAGGATAAAGAAAAGGATCCCAAACCAGGCAGAAGGAAAGACTAAAACTTAGAGCAGAAATTAATGACATGGAAACCAAAAAAACAATTCAAAAGATCAATGAAACCATGAGCTGGTTCTTTAAGAAAATAAACAAGATAGACAAAACCACTAGCAAGAATGTCATGGGTATCCTTATAGGGATTGCATTGAATTTGTATAGTGCTTTGGGAAGTAT